TGGCCCTAGTATCTGTCTCAGGTGTGGCCCTAGTATCTGTCTCCCTCTGGTATGGCCCTAGTATCTGTCTCAGGTGTGGCCCTAGTATCTGTCTTGCTCTGTCTTATCCTGCTCTCTGTCCTGAGACCTGTTTCTAGGGCTCAACTCAGTAGGATTATGAATTTAGGAAACTGCTCCTCCGGGACCAGGTGTTATTTTTGTCACTTAAAGGCATTGTCTCAAGCCAGTGGGGAAAATGGTGCCTAAGGCTCCCAGGCTGAACTTGTGATAGCAGCTAGAACAGAGATGCAGAGAAGTCTCAGCTCAGACATCTCAGCCTCCCCAGGCTCTTGCCCAGACTCCCCTGGACTTTCTTTTTGCTGTCCCAGCCCACTCTGCGTTCTGCCCCCAGGAGGGCACAGAGTGCACAAGAAAAGACCATGATGTTGGTACCACACAGGCCTGAGTTCATACCCAACCGTGCTGCTGAGTGGCTCTGTGACCTTTGACAAGTCATCCTCACACTGTGCCTCAGTTTATTCCCCTGGAATAAACTCAGTTTATTACACTGGAGTAATAACCTCTACCTGTCATAAGATCAAAGAGACAAAGGACATGAAAGTGTTTATAAACCATAAAGGATGGATCTAAGATGAAATAGTCCTGTTGTTAATATTGTTATCTGCTGGTCACTCTTAATAATATAAGACTTATTCCCAGCTGGGGCTCTAGAGTCTGACTGAGCTCTGGATTTGAAGGGTTCTGCTCTCACGGAGAGATTTGGAAGGGTAAAGATGGCCCAGATGACCAGAATTATGCAAGATGATTCCTGGGAATACGAGTTCTTTGTAAGTCCCTCCTAGTTATAAAACCCAGGCAGGGCTTTTTTTTCCCCCCACATGGGTATTAAGGGCAGGGACTGGGATACAGTGGAAGTCCCTCTCTCCAAATCTCCCCAAGCCTCAGCTCCTTATCCATAGAACATAAATAACAATTTCCACCTGAGAGGGACACACAGCAAACTGAATGGGAGAAACAACTGGCCCCAAACAGACCCATAGAAAAGGTGATGACATTGCTGTCCTTATCCCTGGAGGAATTTCTAATAGGAAACCCATAATCTTTGGGGGCCCCAAAGTGTGGCTAGAGTCTAGTCAGAAGCCCCCACCCCATTGCCCTATATGGGTACTGTGCCTCCCAGTTCACCAATTCTGTTTACCCAGAGGTCTCACATGTATCTTCAATTTTGTGACTTAGCCATGACAGGAATTTTTGTCCCATTTATGGATAAGGAAATTGGGTCCCACAGAGTGAAGAGAATAGTCCAAGGTCACACCACAACCTGGTGGCAGAGATGGGAGCCGAGCTCAGCCTTCATGGTCCTTTCCCCCAGTTGTTTTCTCCCTTCCCCCCTCATCCCCTTTTCCATCCCCTCCTTTCCTTCTTCCTCACTTAGCTGGTGACGGTAGGGAAGCAGGACTTTTAATGTTACTGCTTCAGTTATACAAAGCTGGTGGGCAGTGGGCTATCTTCCTTCAGGGGCTTCTGCTCTGTGGAGTGGCGAGTTTCCATGAGGCAGCCAAGGATCCATCCCCAACATGGTGGCCTGCACAGGGAGGGGGCCCCTCAAAAGCACCCCCTGCTCTGCTGCTGCTGCTGCTATACCCAGGGTGAAGGAGGATGACCATATAAGTGTGCAATGATGGATGAATGATGCTCCTCTACCTGTCTGATCCTGTCTCTAGAATTCACTGCTCTGGCAGGGCATCAGTGCCAACTGCAGGTTGCTTCTGCCCTGGGGAATGATGGAAGATGGATTTGGACAGCATCCCAGGTGGCCAGCCCATTCTCAGTGAGCCCCCCCCCACCCCCATTGTTCAGTTCTTCCACCCCGTGTGTCAGGGATGGTGGTGGTGGTGGCAGTCTGTGTGGTGGGTAGGTAAGCAGCACCTATAGAAAGCCCAGTCCTGTGGGTCTGGCTGGAGCCCTTGCGAGAAGCTGCCACCCTCTTTATGGGGTCTAACAGTGTGCTAGGGCTCAGCCTGGGTAAGAGGGAATCAGTGATGGATAGAAAGGAGTGAAGCAAAAAGTTTCAGCTCAGACATCTCAGCCTCCCTAGGCTCTTGCTCAGACTCCCCTGGACTTCTGGCCCTGTGCTAGTGAAGGTCTTTGGACTCTGGAGTCTCAGGTCAATACATGTTTCTTGGGCAGTTCATGGAAGGCAGGCCCTGGGCTGGATGTGGAGACGATGGAGAGACAGAGCTGTCCTCAAAGAAGTCACAGTCCAATGGGGTGGGGGTGTGGGAGCCTGCCACAGACCAGAGGTAATGACAGAGGAGACTGCCAGCCCCAGAGGTCAGGACAATGTAGTGAGCAACATGGTAGGAGAAGCCAGAAGTTGTGTTCAGGGTTTTAAATGAAGCCTGAGGGGAGAGGGCAGACAGGGTGGCAAAAAGACATGTTGGAGAGGGCCCAATAGGCAGCTACCTGAAGTCAAGTGTGTTACTTTGTCACTTAAAGGCATTGTCTCAAGTCAGTGGGGAAAATGGTGCCTAAGGCTCCTGGGCTGAACTTGTGATAGCAGCTAGAGCAGAGATGCAGCAGGACTCACAGCAGTGAGCCCTACCTTAAGGCAATCCCACTGAGTTCAAAGATGACAGAAGTGGAACTTTGGTGGGACTTGAGTGAAACACCTGGCCTGGTCAAGGGCTCTTTCTGGCTTTGGGACCAGGAAGTAGAACTCCCTGAGGCCACCCCCAGCCCTTCTAAGGCCTTCCCAGGCTCCTCAGCAGGCTACAGCCTGGTCTTTGTGCAGGAGAGTACATGGCTGAAGGTCAGGCAATGCTGAGGGCCAGTCCCACCCAGAACTATTCTGGAAGCAAGGGCGAGTGGGGAGAACAGAAAGAGAGGGGGTTCCAAAAGTCACTCACAGACTCCTCCTCATTGCTTGGGGGCTTTGCTGCCATCTTATGAGGATCTTTTTCCAGGATGGGCATTTTGGTGACTCAGAGTCCAAGGAAGCAGCAGTGTAGACCTGGGGACCAAAACAGAGTACATATCATTACCTAGGCCTCTGTGGTCACTTCACCTCTCTCAGCCTGGCCCCACCCCCACCCATGAGGAGGCCAGAACCTGGCAGTAGTATATAGTGGCTTCTTTGCAGGCCTGGCACCAATCTCCAACCCCTGACCACAGTGTCCTCTATGGGGCCCCAGATGGGAGAGGGTATTTCCTGAAGTGAGCCTCCAGTTGGGACCTGTTCTCATGCTGCTCCTAGGCCAACTGACTGCTCCAGGGCAGCACTGGGGGTGCAGGGCTTCAAACCTGTCTCTAGCAGGGCACTTGTTTTATTCCTGCCTGGAACCCAGTAGGTATGTGATTTGTTGATTAAAATCTCTTTCT